CTAGTAGTAACAAGTGCCTTACTAGTAGTAACAAGAAGCGAACGTAGAAACAAGTGCCGAACCGCGCCACTTTCACGACGGAGCTCTCCGACTCTTGGGCCGTTCCTTCGGACAGGCCCTTCGACAGACATGCAGGTTTGGCTCCGAACAAAAGCCAATGGTGGCTGTTGATGCTGGAACTTTTGATGACTGTGTCAAAGTCCCCTTCGCCCCGGTGTGACCGGGAGAGAAATTGATCCAAGCTTCTTGTAAAGGTGGCAATTCTGGAGGAGCACCCAGGTGCCCTTCTTCCGTGCTTCCACCACCATTGTCTTGGCCTCTGTGCGGACAGGGATGCTTGGCAGTGCATCGAGGAAGACACTGATCTTTTTCATGAGAAAACATCTGACAACGTGTGAACACGACGCGCCCAAAGAAAGCCTGCAAGTCAACGAGTTGCCAATCGAATGCAATGTACAGCAGCCGGGATTACGAGACATGTTTCTGTAGGAACACATCAACGCATCCAACACCTTCATGCTGAAGAGTCAGGTTCGTGGATGGACCCGGAGTCCGACCTGCTTCTTTCCATGTGTCTTTCTGTGTAGCTTGGGGCACAGCCACAACTGATTCGGCATGACACGTTCGGCCCATTCGGGGCGTCCGCACCTTGGGTCCTTGCCCTTGCCCTAAGGAGATGACACCCATGGTCGAGGCCTCAGAGCTCGGCTCAGCGGCCCACACTTGCGCCCCAAGGCAGAGAAATCAATAGACATCCCCAACATTCCCCAACTAACTAAGCTACTAAGCCATTGACATGGCAATACCGCAATGCCATAGTCTGACAGCGTCAATAGCTGCTTCGAGTTGGGCCATTTGGCCATGCAACTCTGGTGATCGGGTAAGCCAAGCAGTTCACCTTTGGCCAACACCTGCGGTGGACGGGCGCCCCGACCATGTCCACTTCTTGGGCAAATCGGAGCAACCTAAGCGCTGGACAAAGAAACTGTCGATATATGCTCGGCAGGTCCTTTTGAACATATGATTAATCTTGCGACTGGGATCAAGCTTACTGTGAAATTGGAAAGCTGTATGAACCAACTGCATCTATATAACACTTGCACAAAACCGCACATCATCCTCACATCCCTACCATCGTGACTTCCTCTCAGTGTCCCGCATCGAGGTAGGGTCTGCACCAGTTGACAAAACGAAGACCTTGGTTGAAACACAGTTCTGTCCATGTCGCCCGTGTGGCAACAGCGACATCAGCTTCAATCTAACCCAAAAGCCCAAAAGCTTAAGTATATGTCTTTATAGATGTGAGTGCGGTCTTGCTGTTCTATACTATACGGCAAAGGGCTGAGATTGCTCTGATCGTAGACTCTTCACCAGGAGCACAAGTCTCCACAACAAGCACGGAAAAAGGGGTAACACTTTCTGAACGCCCAGAGGCAATGGGAGTACTTCGAGTGGAGTCCGCATAAAGCTCTGCCACCTCGGAATGTTCGCAGGAGCCCTTTTGCGTCCAGGTTGGAGGCCATCGCTACTATAGGTGGAGGCAATCGCTATTAGAAACAAAGAGAAAAAGAAAAAGAAGAAAGGTCATAGTACCTTGTTGCACCCCTGAGTCCTACTGTAAGTTGGTGCTCACGTGACCTTTTCGAGAAAGATCTTGACAGTTATGTTACGAGCTGGACAGTGAAGTTGCATGCTAACTGTCTGTTAAACAAAAGAACCACACTTGGTCCAACTTACAGGTTGTGCAAAAGGAGCTAACTTCTATGAACCAGGCTGTCGCAGTGGGGAAGATAATGAAATCCTCACCCAAGCACCTGTCGCGGCTGGAACCCTGTTGTGGTGTCGATTCATGCCCAGCTTCTCCCGAGCCCAGTTTCTGACACGTGGATTCTCAAGGGCAAGTTCTGGAAACAATAAGTGTTGGCCTCCAACCTACCACTCCAACCTACTAAAAACATTGCTTGTCATGAAGCAAACGTTCTTCAGAAACCGCGTCATCAGAAACGTTGCCCGTCACCCTCGTGCGTGCATGTTGACCGTGCGAGCTTTCGCTCGTGCACCATGCTGCGCCTCCGTGTATGTTCCTGGATGGCGACCAAGAGCTTCTCTTGTGCCAAGCCCTGAAAATGCACGGCCCGGTGTTGGTGAAAAGCCCTTTCAGCCGAGACTCCAACACGGTCTTGACTCCGAACAAGCTTGTAATGTTGCAGTCAAACGACAAACTTTCACATGGACAAAACGATGCACTACTCTGCAAGCTTCTTGACTCCAACGTGGATACTTTTATGGGTGGGCCCTGGTGATGTGACGGGTCACTTGGTCCCTTTGGCCTTCAGGAGCAACAAGTAGTGGAAGTAGTGCAACTGACTGTTCTCCTGTCAGCTGTCAGCTGTGCATTCGCCCAGGTCAGCTCGGAGATACACTCCCTGGAACGAAGTGGAATACAGTCTGTTCATAGAGGAAGAAAGTCTTCCTTTCGGGGCCATGTTCCACGTAACCATGTTTGTTGGATGGAGAGGGTACTTCTCCGGGCGTCTCGGCCCCCTTCAAGCTGGAAAGCTCCTCATAGTTCAGCGGCATCGGCTGCAAGTGTGGCTGCTCATGTGCCACCTGTGCCCGGGTAGAGTCCAAGTCCGATCTCAACCCAAGTTCGATCAAACATGGCTCCCAACAGAAAGTAGGAACATGTTGAAAAACCTCACACACACTGCTCCACTCAATAGAATGTTGCTGTGAACAACCTGAAAGCGAAGACATACCAACATTCGTGTCGACGAGCGACGAGGTGATCCGGCCGGGTGTCCGGACCCAATCTTTCCAGTCCTCGAGGTTCTCAGTGATGTGTTCACACAAGTCTGGACAACGATCGAATGAGTACTGCTGAATGGCATAGACCTGAGTGGCAGACTGCAGGTCTGTCAACCAATATCCCAGGGAGGGATAGCGAGAGCAAAGTACACTACGTGCACATCAACTCCAGAGCCATGCCAATTGAAGCTTTTTGGACCTGATATGCTTCGTTTTGGCTCCTACCAAGCATAAAACACCCAGAGCCCTTGGGCATCATTTAGCTCTGCTGCTAGGAGGTATGTTCAATGGACAGGAGAACGTTGCGTCACCACCATTGCATGCGGTACCGATACAAGGTGTCAAACTCATTACGTTCCATGAGTCATCAGATTGGTCAAACCAATATCACAGCACGGTCATGCGAGACGTACGGAAGGGTTTCATGTAGTGATTACATTTTAAATCAATTCGGCCATGATCATCATGTAACATGTACTGTGTGAAGTGTGACAGGCTCTGTTTATGCTCTGCGATAGGGAGACGTGACCAGCTCAGGGACTAAAGAGAGAAGCTCAAAAAACATATACAAAACAAAAAAACGAAACAATAGACTCCAAGAGCAAGGGATCTCACATACGAGAGATGCCCTGAGACAAGTCTTAGATACTAAGTGTTTGAGCCCCCTCCCACTTTATGATTTTACGTAGTCAGCATGTCTCTAGTGAAAAAACAATACAAATGCAATCAGCATTGGTCTGAAAGTCTCACTCTGGATTCCGACATGGAAACCTGCTGGCATCTTGCAGTGCAAAGGGCGAAGTCCCACATTTTATCGGTGAAGAAATCCGTGTCCGGATTTGGAGGCTTAGCGCTCATGTCCAGCAATCCAACACCCCTGACAGGGTTGGCACAAAGGCAAGCAATTGGTAGCTCGTTCACCAAGAGGAAGATCTTTCAGACGCACAGCATGTGAGTCAATTCTCTGAGTCAGTGAAATTGCCTAAACAATGTGCAAACAAAACAATGTACCAACAAAAGTTGACATGATGGATGCGGAAACAAGCAACAACCCTACAAATCATACGAGTCACACTTAGAGAGCAAACAAGAACAAAAGCGGTCGACCGTCACAATAGCCACACATAGCCCTTCCACTAGTTCAAAAACCGGCCGCGCCTGAGGAGCAAAGACCACTCAGTGGGGCTGATTTCGCCAGCGTGCCGCTGCAGTGCGGTGGCAATCAGGAAACTGCAGGTCAACTTGTTGTCTTCAAACAAGCCTCCCGCCACGTCGCGCTCGTTCAGCGCCCGCTGAACGTGCTGAACTGCGGTGAATGGACGACGGACGAAGAAGTGCTGCGCTCGGCGGACGAAGCATCCAGGACTCCAGTGGACTTCGAAGCGTTGCGAGGAAGACGAGGCGCGCGCGGATGAAGCATCAGAGGAAAGCCAAAGAGGAAGAATGATAAAATGACGAGTTTCCGGTTCATGTACTATGTACCGGACCAGTCTACAAATGCAGCCTGTGCGCTTTGCGGGTCTTTAAACTTTAAACAAAAACAGGCAGCGGCGTAGTTCACATCTCGCACGACCACCTGCGCAGAATAAAATACGCGTAAGTCAAGTCTACGGCGATGTAAAGATATATATATATATAGGAAACTTTTCTTGTTCTTGCCGCACTGACTTGCCTTGACATGTTCGACTTCGCCCTCGGCCGAGAAGTCTCGGACCAGCTGCTCGGCAGTGACATCGTGTGGTAGTCCCGTGACCATTACCACACGATGTCCATGAGGGCGAAATGACAATCGCAATTCTAACGCAGCCCGTTGAAATAAAGCACTTGCAGCCAGAAATAAGGGAGACACTTCGAGAACAACAAATTGTTTTGCCCTCCTCTGGGCTCAGGCGGCGGGGTGTCACGGTGATTGATGAGGGGCACGCCTAAAACGAAGCGGTGGTATAGAGAGCATTTCAAAAACCATAGAACGCACGACCCTGCCCTTCAATGAGGGCGTAGCGTTCCGGACCTATAAGCAGAACACGTTTAGGAGGCAGAAACATGGTTGAGGGTAGATATCCAAGCGTCGCACTTACCCAGGCTTGCTCTGTTGTATACCCCGCCAAAGAGGAACTTGGGCTCAGCTGTACGTGGCCGTCAGTCAACTCTGACGCAAAACATCGTCAGGTTGAATACCTTTCAGAAAATTGAAACAACGAACGTAGACATATATATATATATGTATGTACACCTGTTACCCTGAAAGCATTGAAATTTCATGGGCACGTGTAAATTCAGTTGAACTTGCATTATTGTTGAGAAGTTCCATGACACAGCGGGAATTTACACATCAGTACACCAATTTACACTTTTTAACGCCTACACCTCCGCACGCCTTTCATAACCCCAAAACTAAACCACATCCATCTCCCCACACCCTTCACTGTCTTTCACCCTCTGCGTCCTGAGTGTCCCCAGAGTATTTGAACCTGTGTTAGATGCCACTCCAAACTTCATTGAATGCGGCACCGTGGGGATACTCATCTGGTCAAGGCACAATATCTTCCAATGAAATCCTCGTCCATGGAGCGTGAAAATGTCATCGGGTTCCGCACAAATGCACAAGCCACAGTTTCTGTGGCCATGTGGCGCCAAACATGCCAAAGCACGTGACCCTTTGGTACCAGACCATATGAACACTGTATACACTGCTGTCTACCAAGGCTCAAAAAGGCAAGGTGGGAAAGGCCTTGCAGGAAGTGTTTGCAAGCACCATTGAGAACCACTGAATTGTTTGCAGGGATCCAAGTGCTCTCACTGTGCAATTCCCTCATCCAAAAGTTCAAAGCCCTTGTGCGAGAAGCCTCACTCAGGCACCAACCGCAAAAAACAACTTCCGAAAATACACCACGAACCAAATCCAAAGCTTACCCTTTGCCATAGAACTACAAGACGGACTGTGCTTTTCAAGAGGTTTAGCAGGCAACAGGTAACGGAACTGGTAGCGGATTTACCAGGCTTAGTCATTGCTTTGGGCGCTGGTGATGCTCCGGTTGTAGATAGAGTTTAGGACTTGTTCTGCAAGTGGGTCAATTGGAGGGAAGCGCCGTTCTTGGCGTATCCACTGACAAATTACCATGAGCATCGGTGCATTCTCTTTGATATTCCTCGTGCTTTTTCCGACAGCAGTGTTTGTAAGCTTCTGCAATTTGGGACCATAGTGACAGCAAAGGTTATACCCATCTCGCATCCTTTGCGGCTGGTGCATCATCCCGTGCAATTGCCAGTCTTCTTACATTGTCGCTGTAGACTGTGTTTGGAAGGCCTCTCCTTCGGAGTGTCCTCAGGTGCCACCATGAGCGAAACCGGAATAGCCCCTGGCTCTTAACCGGTTGAGAATGAGCTGACCGGCAGCCGCAGGTTGATGGCAACACAATGAATGCAGTGAATGCCTGGTCTGGTGTTGCACTCGAAAGACCATTGCGCGATTGGAAATAACACTGACTTCAGCTCCCAGAAAGGTTCACGAGCGCATGAACTCCCTTGGTCTTGGTCTCAATTTGCCAAAACCTGGCCTGCAAGGCAGGCCAACTCAAGCCACAGCCACCATGTGAGTGAAAAAGTGGCTGCAGGGAAGTCTAATGCCTCCCAAACATTTATCATGTATTGATGAGGTCTTTGCAAGTCTGCAAAGTCTACAAGTTTGTTTTGAAAGCTGCAATATACAGCTTGGAATGTCATTCGTGTGGAACTGACCGCGATGAGCGCAAGGACTGGCCTTGGTGTCTTGATCAGCCTTCGGCTGTGGGCGGAAAATGGCTCCTCTGTCTGCGAACATACACATGGATTACGGGTTCCAACCGGTGTTTACACGCTCAAACGGCTTTCTACAACTTCGAATGGGAAAATTACTGGTAACATTGAAATTTAGGGGGCACACCTGAATTCATATAGAATTTGGATGTGACGCGTTGCAATTTCTTTGGTCCAAGAGGCTTCCGTAGCAAGCCATTACGGAAAAGGGCAAAGGCGGTGGGGTAGCTGAGCTAGGGTCGTGGAAAAAGCCGCGTATATATTACAAATGTGCTAACGGAAGTGCGAAACAAAACCTAGGAGGTAAAGTCAAGAAAACGTGCGTCTATTCAAAGTTTAGGCGTTATATTAAAAAATAGACGACGGATGGTCGGGAATATGACATGCTGAATCTCAAGGCCGCCTTTTCTCCTGTTCATCTTTAAAGCTCTAGGATTTCCAGGGCATATTCACAGGTCAAGTACGTTCCCATATCTTTAATTATATCCCAACCTACCAAGTCTACACCTCTCTCCATCCCAGCTCCATTCTAGCTGTTCAACTTTGCCTGCTTGATGCTGCTAGACTGTCTTGGCCGTCTTGGCCTCTGGAAACTTTCCACCCGTGAGGTTCTTTGTGCCTCACCTCTGGAACTCTGATTATTTGTCTCAGCCGTGCTCCTTCGCTGGCTTACCCAAGTTCCTCACCCCTGCCAACTCTCACAGCCCCCTCCCATTGGCGGCAATGATTCCAGGGTACGTTCACAGGTCACGCACACAGGAATAAGTACTTCCCCACACCTTCCAACCCCGTACCTGCCAGGTCTACACCTCCCACTTCTCCCAGGGCACGTTCACGGGTCAAGCGCTTCCCCACACCTTCTACCCCCGTACCTGCCACATCTACACCTCCCTACTCTAGTTGTTCAACTTTGGCTGCTAGGCTGTCCTGGCCTCTGGAAACTCTCCACCTGTGAAATTCTCTGTGCCTTAGAAATTCTCCATCTCTGTCTTGTCTTTGTCTTAGCAGCTCCTTCGCTCGCCTACTCAACTTCCCAACCTCCTGGCAATTCTAGAAGCCCCTCATCTCGGCGGTAGTTACTTTGAGTCAGCTTAGATTCTGTGCACAGCAAAGCTGAGAAAGTACACCGAGATCCAACAGCTGACAAGCATTCTTCATTTATAATTCCTGTGTGTCTTGACATCACATGCACAAATGGTTTCTGGAAAACATCGACCACACCAAGCAAGGGGTCTGGAACCTAGGTTTTTAAACTGATTATTATTCCTATTAATTGTTCCCAGACCTGACCCGACACCAGGAATAATAAATGAAGGCACCTCACATCGAAATGACATCCCATGTGTCTGATGCTCCCAAGCCTCGGCAGACATTTTGGAAGATTCCGTTGAGAATCTGGTTGCTCAAGTTCGTCATGCGGATGTCAATGTCATCACCTCAATCCACCGATGTCATGCGGGACGCTCCAAAAATGCACTCGGACCCGGAAAGAGATCCTCCCGACTCCCTTGTACCAGTGCAGGACACACTCCAAGTGTAATCGGACGTGAGTGTAGACCACACACTTGGTCCACTCTGGGCCGCCCACTCTTGGCCGCCTTGTCCATGCAGTTCTTAAAGAGTCGCACAAAGTAGAACAGGCTGAACTGATACCTCGATCCGACCAAGGCCGGGGATCCGGGGTGAGCGCAGGCGACCGGACCGGGGTGAGCGCAGGGAGACGACTGAGCGCCGGAGCATGGGATTGATGTTGGCCAAATCAGCGATGACAAAGTAGAGGATGCTGCCACGTGTGGCGACCTGACAGCTTGAAGCTTTGGACACATGCATTAATGATGTATTTACGTGTGGCAAATTGTCCTAACAGAATCTAACATAGAAGTGGAGGCTAGACCCTTGCATGCAGATTGTCCTTTATGTGTCCACTTCCATGTTAGTAAATCAGAGTTTAGATGTATCGATTTGAGGTGAACACACCACATGGCAACCTGACAGCCGGAGTGCGGAATTTGCTGGTGAAACATTTGTTCATGTGGCAAGCTACAAGGGAGTTTGGAAGGAATCCCTGCATCTGGATAAAGCTACGCTACCGAAGTACTGAAGATCCAGCAGGATCCAATGGAGTAGACTTGGCTATTACGCACATGGGAGCTGCGTGCAAAAGGTTCAGCATATTCATGGCGGAACATGGGACTGAACATTTCGCAATATCACCAATGCCCTGGTTGACCGTTGACCCAAGTGAACGCAAGCTGCATTTTATGTGGAACTGTGGAACTAAACGAATTGTTCTTTTACATGCCTTTTTCCCTTTTTCCTTCCTGTCCTGTCCTCCTTTCATTTCTTTTCCTGCAAACTCCTGCCCTTTTCTGCACACAATCATCCCAAAAGCGGATCACGGCTGTTCCGAAAGAACTCAAAATCCAACCGCAATCCTGTGTCAGGGCAAAGATCTAACTATAGTTTGTGCAACGCTGTCTATAGACTAATGAAACAAATACGCCCAAAGCTTTAAACGCAAGTATGTTGCAACATTGTGTGCATATAAGTATCTGGAATGTAATGTGGGCGCTCTCGTGGCACGTGTCATCCTCAAGATTGTGAATGGTAGAGGCACTGCATCGTGACAAGTCAATGTCGACTGCGACCTGTAACCTGCAGCCCTTCAACTGTTCACACACATGTGCTTTGGCGTGTTTCACGGAACGCTGTTTCACGACAAAACCAAGCCCTTTGCCCTTCGCGTGCTCGTTCTACTGGCCACTCATGTAGGGACATGTTGCAGTCCACCAGCCAGACATTTGGACCCTAATTGAAGGCACAGTTTAAACAAATGGTAGGGTAGGATGTCAAGAGACATATTGAAACCGTTTCTGGGCATGACAGGTTGGCTTGAGCAAGAGGTCCAGCACATCTATTCTCTACTTCACTGCCGTTTTGGTCCAAGGACCCTGCTCCAATTCTTTGTTTCTCTGTCCCATACCAGTCAATGCATCTTCATCTTCTTACACAGCCTTGCCCTGCGCAGTTCTGTCTTCATGTCTTTGACCTCAAATGTGCAAAACTGAGCTGCGCCAGATTGATGCGTGCCTCCGTGTACTGCTTGCAGGCAGCATCGATCCTTAAACACGCCAAGCTGCTGGAGATGTGTTGAGATCAATTTGATGAACCAAAGTTTGCACTCCAAAAATTGCAACTCTTCCTGCAAATGTCTACGAACCAGCGCCTACATTTAGCTGCAATCGACTTACTCCCCTCCCTACCCATTCCTATCCCATTCCTACACCTCTCTCTACCCCACAGCACTTAGGACCACCTTCGCACTTCGCCCCCCACGTGGAGACGCGGTCTGAAAACGTCCAGGTGGCTCCACCGCTGCCTCCTCCGCAGCCTTCACTCGTTGGTTCACCGCCGTGGAGGTCTCTTTGGACTCGCCCAAAGTGCTGATCAACACCTGGAGGATTTTTCATACATCGCGAGGTGAGGATGAGTGAGGGAGAGTAACTGGAAAGAAGGGGCGGATGAATTGACGCAAAGGATGGGAAACCATGGCCGGATGTGTGGAGTATCACAAGATGAATGTGGTTGGAGGTCTGGATTGAAGTGGCCCTGTTGGAAACTTGCTCAGAGTGCGGCACAATCACAAGACTTAAGTAAGAAAATCAACGCAACAGGGCGCCGGTGTCCTTGTGTCCTTAGAGCATGTTAACATTGAGCGTTCAATTACATCAAATACTTGGCGGTTTGGGGCTGTGGTTAAGTGGTCAATTAAGTGTTTAGTCGGGAGCCTGACTTGAGTCCAAATGTCAAGAACTTCGGTGTCGGATGGCTAAAGCAAACACACAACTAGTTGTATAATCTGCTCCAATCTTGCGAAGAAAGTGCTGTTGAAAGCAATGCATGGCTGACCGGCCTGATCGTCAAGGATATTGCCTCAGGGCCGCAGGCGGCTCCATGCTGATAGATGAGGGATCGTACCGAGTTTACAACAGGTTCCCTAAGAATCCCTAAGATCTAAGATGATACATGCTCACGCATTGACATGCTCATTGACATGATCTGCATTTTAATCTCCCTTGGCTCAGCAAGGCCCGAGGCACCACTTGACTCTGAAAGGAGCTTCAGGATCTTATCCTCAAGCTGCTTCAAGACCTTCTTATCATCCGCCAACTGAAGCATCAGCTCCACCTAGGTCTCTTCTGACAGCTAGTCAGGTGGTCAAAAGGCTCTGAAATGATAAACACAAAAAGCATTCAAAAAGCACTCTTATGCCGCAGCGAACAGAAAGAGCTTGGCCCTGGGCTCTTCTCTGTAGCGTCTCTGGAATTTCCTTTGAGACCACCTGGCACCACAATAGATATATATATATATACACATACAAGTCTATTTTGCTTGGCTCACTCCTGGTATCCTCCTTCTCTTCCTCCACTCCCCCCCACCCTATCTATCACCTCCACCTTATCAAAAAACACGGTGCCAGCACTCCAACAGTCACCTTCCACGCATTTCCACGCTTCAACCCTCACACGCCAACCTCCGCTTGAACCCTCACGCGGAACCTCCGCTTCGCTTCACGACGTCGCCTCGTTGAGCAGCTGCTCCTCCAAGCCTTCGAAGGTCACGGTGAAGTTGATCACTGTGACCTCGACGGGAAACTCAACCACGAATCGTCGTAGGTAGGGGGAGGCACGGGGCCTATCACATTCAAAGACAAGCGAGGCACAGTGACCTTCGAGCACGGTGAGCACTCGATCCAATGGGTATTGAGGATGTGTTTGCTCAAGCTAGTTTGAGGTTGATGAACTATGAAATAACTACCCCAGCAAGCAGTGGCACCTCATGTGCCACTGTGCAATGCACCACATTATGATATAAGAAGCAAGCTGCGCGGTTCTGATTAGTCGATGGTTCTGGACCTGGAGGTAGAATTTCAATCCACCTCCCCAAAAAATGCGATGGACTAAACTGCATTTGATATCTTCTCTCATCATCCACCTGTACAACATGGTCTGTCTATCAACAGGTACAGCTTCCGACATGGCAGAACAGCATGCCTGCTTCGTTTTGTTTTTTGCCCCAAGCTGTTTGATACCAGGGCTGTTCTGTGTGAAAGATACGAAAAAACACAAGCAAGTTCGACGGGCCTTGATGCAAACTTCAGGGAAGTAGTGCGGGTTTGGCATCTTTGTCGTCATGTAGAACAGGAAGTTCTTGTCATAGTCCACCTGCGAACTGAAGTTCGGCTTCAGGCTGCAATCCCCCGAACAAGCATGGGATAGCCTCAGACTGCCGAAGGGATCTTCAGAGTCAGAGGATCTCATCCAGGTCCATCCATCTATCCATCCATCTATCCATCTATCCATCCATCTATCCATCCATCCAGGTATACAGCTTGCGTACAGAAGAAGCTTACAGCATACAGCTGGTGACTGGTCAAAGCCTCAGCCCTGCAACAAGAGGCTGGCAGCCATATATTCCCTCCCATGGTGCCATAGTGCCTCGCTATCCCCGAGCTTGATCTGAAGGCGGTTGTTGTCTTCGTAGACCGCCTCGCAAAGCATCGACGTGTTCGCGACGTGGCGGGTTTGAATTAGGGACAGACCGAGCAGGTTGGAAAAGCCAAAACCAAGACTGGAATTCACGCAGTAACAATGCCCCACAAGATTGCTTGCTCAAATCACAAACTGACAGCCAGTTACTGTGCCAGTTACGGATGGATGTGCCAAACACCGGTGTCAGGCCCTGACCTTCCCAAGGAACAACATGCCAGCTCCAAACGGTGTCAGGCCTTTAGCAAGACTGGCTCCAAGGCTGGGTCTAGTGTCTCTTCAATGTCCTCGCACCAAGAAAGGCTTCATTTGCCACCGGTTTGAGCTTCTGTAGTCTTGTCACTTTGAACGGTCACAAAAACCATCCGGGAAAATTAAAATTCAAAAGTGTCTTTCGACTACCCCTTTCGCATGACTCGACATGCTTGGCTTTTGCAGACCCTACCTACTCAAGCCTAAAGCTCTTTTGCAACCCCTTTACTCCACCCCTTTACCCCTCAAGTCTATACCCAGGTGGATAGGGAATAGCAAAAGCATTGTTGTTCCTCAAATAGGGGTGGCTATCCGTCGGGGCTTTTACTTCTTAATGACTAGGTGACTGCGTTCTGAAATTTCCTGCAGCTGTCGCTGCTGTGTCTTGTCTCGCAAACGAAGGGGAACCATATTCCTAAGCTGCAACCACACGCCTTTCGCGCTATCTTCGCCAACCTTTCGCCCAATAAATTATATGAATGGATTTGTAATTATATACATGTGACGGAATCTCTGGGATTTGTTGGCAATGAACTACCAAAACAAGTCACCTATACTAAATGCAGTGCATCTCACTGAAATCCTCTTCACCAACGCTTTCGCAACAACCCCCCACCACCGAAAAGCTTAAACCAACTGCAGCTTTTCTTTCGGGAACTTAAAGCTCTAGCTAAATTCTTCCATAGAGGTTTATGACAATGCTCCTTTGTAGTTTGTCCAATTTTAAATCAGTGAAACAGACATCTGCTTGGTCAAAAACATTTTCTGCTCCTCCATGAGCATTGGAGCACCCGTGCGGATGCAGCCTGGTATCAAATGGGGAAGTGGAAAGAAGTGACACCAAACTGATGTTTTTAATTCATACATGTTGATATGCATCATTTAAATATCTAGATTGTTGCGTATAATGTGTTATTGCAGTATGCTACTGACGTGCATTAGTATTAAGTATGAGTGTAGCTTTTGCGAATCAAATGGGGCCAAACGTCAAGGATGATGCTTCTGCATTACACAGTAACTGGAAACATCAAAACACCTTGGGTTCTTGCTGTGAGTCATTGTCATCACTTGGCGTGTGTGAAAGACAGGCAAACGAACGAGAAAAACAAGCAAACGTTTGATACATCTTGATACATCTTGATACCAGACATGTGGTGCTTTCCCTCCAGCCTTCGAGAATCAAAAGCATCTTTGGATTGGTCATTTTCAGCGTCTTCAGGTCCTGAAGACGAGAACATTGCCCACGAGAACGTCCCGATGTTTGAAACGAACGCCCAAGAGTGGGATCTCCTTTCGGGCATGACTAGTAGCGATACCCTTGTTACTAGTAGTAATGGCCTCCAACCTAGCGATGGCCAGCAACCTAGTAGCTTCTTGTTACTAGTAGCTTCTAGCTGTCGATGAACATCTCTTCACAAAGCAACCGCAAAGTTCGACTTTCGAAGTCCTTGCCCTCTTTCTTCTTGATCCACTTGTTGCCCTGACCCGGCAACAAGAAAGTTGATGTTCTGGTCATGATGTGAGAACACGTCATTCATGCGTTCTTCATGATGTGTTCCTTTTTCTGCCAGAAAACTCTCCCTGGGCGTCGAGTGCTGAAAATCAACGAACCCCAAACCACTGAGAGAGCAAACTTGAACCGAACCTTGCCATGGCAGCCATTTTCAACGGGCGAACCCGTGGGAACCCGGGTTAAGTCACCTGTTTGCGGGTAACCCGATACACTTGGAGACACTCAGCAAGCTTTCGAATGCAAAGAAGACCCAGCTAGAGATACTGCCATACTTCGTCAGGTAAACCATCGAACACGCATGCCAGAAGCACTTGTAACTGGGTGTCCCCTGTGAAAAAAAGATGTTCAATGTTTGAAAACTGTCTCATCTTCTTGCATGGAACATGTTTCTTATTACTAGTAATTTGTTGCTGATGTTTCTCACACATAATCCTCTTTGACATCTCTTGGCCACTCGATCCCTGCGCCCACATGAACCCACGAATTCCGCTCAACTCCATTCGCCGATGCCTGTGACTGTGGGTCGATCATCAGGGGCCAACGCTTCCCTCGCATCACCATGACACCGTTGTTGATGGACACGGCCTTGAGAGCCACGTTGACCGTACCGTGCCGTTTGAGCTGATGCAAACCCGGACCTCCGACCTGACGCAAACCCGCCACCCTGCAGAAGGCGATCACTTATAAGGGCGCTAGATGGCGGCAGTTTATGTTCAAACACAGAAGCCGAAGGACGGAATTTCCCACAGTGGTGCTCAACCACAAGAGAGACTTGTGCATGTCCTTCTTTGCTCTGGTTCATGTCATCCTGCCATCTGCATCTACCTCTGCAATCGTCGTCGCGTCATCACGCCCGGGAGCCCCGGGCATCTGCTGGTAGGCCTTGAAGATTCCACTCACGAATCTCCACAGGGTTTCCCATGACCTGTGACGAAATCGGCGAGACAAGGGGGCTGTTCCGAACATCTTAGAACAAGCATCTGGGTAGGTGAGGAGAAGTGGCACCTTGTGATATGTGAATGGTAGGCAGGTAGGTAGGTAGGTAGGTAGGTAGGTAGGGTAGGTAGAGGTAGGTAGAGGTAGGTAGAGGTAGGTAGAGGTAGGTAGAGGTAGGTAGAGGTAGGTAGAGGTAGGTAGA